ATGCGCGGCAGACGCACGGCTGCCGCGCGTTTCTGTGTGGCAGGGATTTGACGAAATCTCCTAGTACATGTCCAGCTGGTCGTTAGGTTGTAAATTTGACTATTTAACATGTAATTTGTTAACCTACGAAGTGACTCGTGGCCACGAAATTGGAAAATAGCGTTTTATTGCATTCACTAGAACGGGGCGGATGTGTTGCAATAATTCCTTTTATTATCGCCTATCGTATATTATAACTTCTTGCACAATGTGACTCTGCAACTTCGTTGCAATTGGAAAACGTACATGTCAGACATTGAGTATATGATGTCAGATTAGGATATACACACATCAAAAAAAGTTTGCGATCAATAGCATAAGCTCCTATAATTCTTTAAATTTAACTTTATCAAGAAAAAATCTATGTTGTATGCTTTCTTTAAATAGGAATACCCTGTTTGAAATTAAAATATAACACTATTTTTTATTATTTATTTAAAAAAATTGAGCCATTAATCATAATGTAATAGTGATAGAAATTTCATAGAAAGAAAAAGACTGTTTAATTAAACTTAAACAAGAATTTATTATTAAAAGGTGTGAATTCAATATAAAATAACTCCTCCCCTGGCTCGAATACATGCGAAGATCCTCCTGGGCATGCTGAGGATCAAGTTATCCAGCATTTCCTGGGGTAACCTATCCCATTCTTCAATAGCGGCTTCCGTGAGCTCTGGAACTGTCTGGGGACGTGGCTCACGGTTCCATACTGCTCGTTTAAGAGCATCCCACGCGTGCTCTATTGAGTTTAAGTCGGGCGAGCCGGCAGGCCAGTCTAATCGTGTGATATCGTATTCTTGAAGAGCAGCATTGACTCGTTGAGCTCGATGTGCGGGCGCATTATCATCGACCAGTACAAATTGGTGCCCATGGTTTACTCGGAATGGTCTGACGATATCATCAATAGCAACTGCTTTGTACATGTCTGCTGTCATGAAGCCCCGATACGGGATCAAAGGCGTTCTAGCTCCAATCATAATGCCACCCCAAAAGGACACCGATTTTCCGCCTTGCTGAACTGTTCCAGTGGCAGTTCTTTGTCTTTCACGGTCGCCTGGTCTTCTCCAGACACGGACACGTCGGTTATCTGGATGAGTGCTGATTCGGGATTCGTCAACGAAGAGACAGTTTTGCCAAATGTTTTCGTCCTCACCTTCTTCATTTTGCCGAAGTCTAGCCCACTGCAATCTTCGTTGTTGACGTTGCCGGGAATTGAGCGGAGCTCGCCAAGACCTCCGTGCTCGTAATCCAGCCTGGTGCAAGCAATTGCGAACGGTCTGCGTGCTAACTTCAAGCCCAGAGGCGGCCCTGACTTCTGCTTTTATTTTAGTGGCGTTGATTGTTGGATCACGGGCTGCCAGCAATCTAATATAGCGCTTTTGGGCAGCTGTCAAAACAGTTGGGCGACCGCTGCGGGGTCGGTCAGCTAAATTCCCCATTCCGTGATACCTCTGCAACGTAGCCACGACACAGGATTGGGATATAGCAAGTCTGCGTGCTATTACTCTCGTGGTGTATCCTTCTTCCCTCAAAGTTACTATTCTAGCTCGTAAAACCTCTGATAATCCTCTTGGCATTTTTTCAATCACAACTTTCCGCGAAAAATATCTTGAATCGCTTATAATTGACTAAATCAGATTTCTGAATGAGCCATAAGCTAGGACTGAAAGCCTTTTTATATGAAAAAACAATTGAACGGGGTCATTGTTTTATGTTCTAATTTATTTTTAAATAAAGAATCTAAAAAGAAGAAAAAATCATAATATAATCTACAGTAACAAAAAAGATTTCAGTTTTTCGAAGTGATCGCAAACTTTTTTTGATGTGTGTACGTGGGGTGCACTATAAGTTTCCGGAATTAATACGAAAAAAATCTATATTATCCGTTAGCGTTAATGCACTTTTCCATACGAATGAACAAATTTTGAAAACATTTATGCCACTCCTTCGTGACAATCTTGAAACATATTTTTCATACTCTTCGACTTTCAGGTGATGAAAATCGTTGACCTTGTAACTGGTTATAGATTTTTGAAAATAAATTAAAGTGCCAGGTCGGGACTATACCCGAGATGGCTCTTAAGGTCAACGTGTACACCTTCGAAAATTCATTTGTCTATCTGGCCGTGTGAGAACTGGCATTATCGTGGTGCAAGATGATACGGCGTTTACGGTTATTATTACGGAGTTTGTCAATAACTTCCGGCAAACAAATAGTCGTGTACCAATCACTTTACACGGTACAATGGTTCTCCAAAGCAACAGTAGCCACGTGTCCAGTTTTATTTAAAAAAGAAGCAATCATCCGCTTAGAGACACTTTGCACGCGCGCCACTTTGGTTGGTTTCGGCTCATCTCGAAAGATCCATACGCTCGATTGCTGCTTTTTCACACCCAAATGTTTGTGTAGTATTGATTGTATTTGACACATGCCTATGCCTAAAGATGCCCGAATCTCATAGTATGTCACATGCCTGTCTGTTTTGATTATACGACGCACAGCATCGATGTTTTTGTTGTTCACAGCAGTGGACGGACGACCATCACGAAATTCGTCACTGACATTCACACGTCGGCGTTTAAATTCTGGAAACCAGCTATAAATAGTCGTCTTGCATGGTGCTTTATCGCCAAAAGCAGTTTGAAGCAGAGCAAGGCTCCGCTGAGCTGTTAAATTACACTTTAAAGTCGTAGAAAATAATACTACGAAAATTTTCACGAGTTAAATCCATGGTGATGTAGACAACCAATTTCTAAAATGACACCACAATGTAAAAACAAGTGACAGTCAGATGAAACAAACTGTACTCTACGGCCAAAGAGTTCCATTTTCAAATATTGTAATTACTTTTTAAATATTGTTTATGTAAGTGGCCAGTTCCGGAAACTTATAGTGCGCCCTATGTACGTATTTATATTATTATTATTAGGATGAAACATTTTAGTAGCAGTAGATCTCCTTGCGAAAGAGTTCGTCCAGGGAAGTACTGGCACCTTACCGATTTCTGCCGCCAAGCAGTAATGTCAGTATTACTGTGTTCCGTTTTTGAAGGGTAAGGGTGCTGGTGAAATTAGAGGCACATGTAGCATGTGTGTGTGATGACCACATGATTTTTGTCAATTGTAATAACTGGAAGGCTTAGTACAACTTGTAAAGTATTTTGTAAGGTGCATCCTGGAATTTGTACAGAATATTTTTAAAAACTATACCACCTAAGGTGCAGTCTCTCATTTCTCACACCAAAACCCGCAAGTGGAATCTGGGCAAGTATTTAGTTTGCTAACTTCTTTGTTAACAAAACGGGCGCAGTGGCAATGCCCCTCAGGTCTTTGCGACTTAAAGCTCTGAGTGGCACTGCAATTGTTATGGCGTGTTACCATCAGGTGCACGACTTGTTCGTCCCGTCACTTGATATTATAAAAAAGAAGCAAAATTAACATGAACCTATTCTACGCACAAAAGAGCTACGAGAACTCTCAACCCTGTCTTTAGACGAAACCCGTACACAGCAGTGGGATTTCAGAAACGTTTACGAGGCGTGCGCACAACAACTCAAAAGTTCCATAGAAAGAAATTGCAGTACGTTTTATTTGTGTGTTTTTGTATTTTCCTGTCTTAAGTTTTATCACACCCGGATGAAATACTAATGGAACGCACACGGGACAAACAAACAAACAAACATACATACATTCATTTTTCTATAGATATGCATATTTAAGTTGATGCCGACAAATTAAACAAAAAACGATCGTGTGGTTTTTAATTAACACATTACATTCGTGGCTACTTTTTTTAATGTGCCAGAATGGCGCCAGACACTGTTTTAGTCTCCTATACTATGAGTACCAGAAAAGAACAACGGAATTCACTCTAGGGCACTTACTACAACACACGGGCCAAAAACGATATAGAAAAGTTCCTAAAATCGAATACCTGAAATCTAATCCGTGTTTTTTTCGTTAAAGCAGTGAAATCTAATATCGCCATACTTTACCTACACATATCGTGAGTACAGTCGTCTCTGCATATAGGTACAGGTGATAAAAAAAAACACTATTATATTTTAAGGATACATAAGGAAAAAACCTCTTCAAATTCAATATTTTTTTATACAAATGACAGAACGAACAAGTCGTGCGCCTGATTGTAAGCGACACGCCTAACCGTAATAGTTACAATGCCACTCACAGCTTTAAATCGCAATAAACTTGAGGGGTGCTGCCAGTGCACCTGTCACCCTGACAGATAAAGTTGACAATGCTTGTAGTTTTACCAGTACCCTAAACCTTCAAAACCGGAACGAAGTTAATGTTCACAATAGGGCTTAGCATGACAGGGCGCGACTTCTGCGAGAGCGACTTGATGCGCGAGATATTGCTGTTCTCGCATAGAGGTCACGGATCTGTCGTGCAAGCCCTACAGGTTTTGTGTGAGGGGGTGCATCTATTAAATAAATGATACACTAATTGACTTATCATTTATTTATTTTTCTTATGTTGATTGTTATAATTAAATTGATAAAAGACGAGGTTACAACTTTCAGTTACTACTTGGTTCTCGCCTTAGCATTAACAAGGCGCGAGCGGTGGATGCGGCGTGGAGACACACATTATAAATTTACTTTTGCCATTCTGTACCAAGTACTAACTAGCAAACAAGTTTTCACGCCTGCACACGCACACGCCTTTACATCAATGGACCCTTAGAATAATAACGCATAGAAACCTAGTCCGCACACGCTAAGTGAGGCAAATTGAAGCGCTCCCAATGGGCCTACACGAGCGGGCGGGCCGTCAGTGCTCAAGGTCAACTTGCCCCGCGAACAGCTCAAGAATTTTAGCTAAAAATGACGAAATGTGCGGTAAATGAGTGTAAAAATGCGTCAGACAAACATAAAATAGATACTAACATCACATTCCACAAGGAAGTAACGCGTTTCAACTTGTATTTTTATATAAATATTCACTAAAACCGAAAATTAACCTACTACTAAAACTAGCCTACATGAATTTGATTTTTGCCTCACTTGTGACAGTTCGTTTGATATGAAACTATCATTCTATGCGTTATTATTCTAAGAATGGACCCTAATAATAAAGGAAACCGTACTCTACGTCATACTCTAAATAGTCTGCGGTATTATTCCCACCGCTGGAGCGGCGCGCTTTGCTCATGTAAGTTTCCAGCTCCGGATACGCCTGAATCAACATCCTCGCCCCCTCCTTCGACATTGTGCCATTCACCACTATGCTCGCAAAAGTCGCGTTTCTCATGAATTCGGTATTCATATTCTTTATTTCGTAAAGCTTCTTCATCAATGCCGCATCTATTTTTATCATATACTCCTCGTGAAGATCTTTAACAGCGAGCCGATCCTTTTTATATTCAGACTTCAATTTTTTAATTAAGTTCCTCATCTGCTTCGACCTCTTCTTCCTCTGCTTCGAAGAATTTTGATAGATTCTATTGAGAATTTTATTGATTTCTTTCATAATCTTCTTTATATTTTTTTTTATTCTCTTTTTACGCCTCGCCCTGGCGTCTTTCCGCTTCTTCTTGGCTTTTTCAGTATCTTTTTTTTTCGTGTTTTTGTTTTCATCGTGCTGCATCTCCTCAGTGTCCGTTGACAAGCCTTTATCCTCAAATGATAAGTCAAACCCTTGATACATGTCGTAAGTCGCAACCTCGAGAGCGCAGCAGCCAAATGAAGTGCGACCGCAGAAGATGTCGCCTCTAAATATGCGATATTCAGCATCACATTCCGCGGCCAACATGCATGTCCCCCAAGGCATATCGTGCTGATTTGGATCACCGCATTTTACTCCCCAAGGGCCTGAAAAACAATTAAATAAATTTACTTGCTTGCGCAACCACTTAGATATCGGCAGAATATCTACGCGGCAAACTTATAAAGTTGGCAGCATTGTGGTTAACCGAAACCTTTCCAGTACATTATTTGTTGCAACTTTCCTTTTCTTGTTATATTACGTAATGCTGTGATGTAACGTGCTGAATAAATGCTTTATCTGTCTATCAGTGAATAAAATTTTCCACGTATTATCAATTACTACATTTTGTGCTAAATTCTAAGTATAGAATTAGTTAACCAGTGAAATGAAGTGTATAGCCTTGTGTGCTAATAAGTTTTGTTTAAGTGTCACCAAGGCGCCGCTTTTTCTTAAGGTAGGTGACATTTTCAGGCCTCACCACTGCTATCAATTTATCATTAGATTATCGCTATTATTCCTACAAATTGTAGGTGAAACTATTTTTTTCGAATCTAAATCGCATATAATTGTTTTAATGACTAATATCGTCTCAGTCAGCCGTAACCACGGGATATACACAGAGCCCGAAATATTGATTTGTTAGAAAAAAAAAACAATTTATACACAATTTTAAATAACAAAAATGTTTCATTGAAAGGTTATAACTGACGATGATTAAGTATAATTTCCAAAGGTACAAACGGTTCGTGATGTACCAATATTAACTTACGAGCAGCCACCATGTTGACTTGGTCTCCAGGTGGTAATGAAGAATTTAGTGCTTCATACTTCTTCTGAAGCCATAGGTCCTTAAATTGTTCTTTGAAATCTCCAAGTTCCCTGCTAGAGCTTACGATTTCAGAGTCGTCATCGTCTAAGTACCTTCTCAAGCTTCCACTTCGTAATACATTAAATACGGGATCCATATGATAGCGCATTTTGCGGTTATTCAAATCCCCACTTTCTAGCACGTTTAACTCATTTAACTCTGCTTCTTTGCCTTTCGCTTTAGATAACACTAGAGCCTTTTGGCGTGCCTTCGTGATGTCATTCCTGTCTTCAATTGCGCTTACATCAGCTTTATGGTGATTATAGTTTTCTGTGTCTTCCGAACGAGCTCGCATGATTTCTTTATCTCCGATCCATGGGCCGTATTTAGAGCTTGCATCATTATCAAAATAGTTATTATTATTTCTTAGCGATTGATGTCGTTGAATTTGCGAAATTATACGTCGCCTTAAATCGCTGAAATCTAAGTACGAATTTGTCGAAGTTAAATATATTGACAGAATAACCAAATGCAACATCGACTGCATGTTATATGTAACATATTCACAATTGTGGACGCTGAAAATCGGAAACCTTGGAGGTGTAATAAATTTATTTCGATTTACTTATAAAACTTTCAATAGCGTTGAAACAATAAATGTTATGGCATTATTTTCCGAGTGCAGTTTCCGAGTTACGAAATATTTATTTGGAATAAAAATCAACAGAACACATATTCTTAGGTTGGCATATTGTTATCGTTGTTAGAATATGAGATGAGACAGTGCAACCACATTGTGACGAGCCTAATGAATACTTTTAAGATTCAACTACTTCTCTCCTCCTATTCCTGAGGAGTAATCGCCAACCATCTCTGTTCAGCGCCCTAATTTTGATTTCCGGATACGACACGGCCGAGAAAAATCCTTATCTGATCAACTAAACCATAAATAACATCGTCTCGGTCGTCCTCTACCTCTCTTTCCTTCGATCTTCCCTTCTAAGATGTTTCTAACTGTCGCGACATATTAGATACTCAAACATCTTTCCCCTTCGGTTCTCTACTGTCTTTAATATTTCTCTTTGTCGTCCTCTGCAACTGCTTTTTCGGATGCAGAGGATGACATGCCCTCGCTTGAGGAAAGACTGAAGGTTGCTTTCTCATCTCTACCGAAAAACTTTAACGTTGTGCATATTAATGCGCAAAGCCTTGCTAGTCATTATAATGATGTCGTGACATCTTTCACTAGCAAAAATATTCATGCAGTCCTTATTTCGGAGACATGGCTTAAACCTTCACTACCATCTACTCAGTACCCTTTACCAGGTTTTAGACTCATTCGTAACGATCGAGCCTACACCATTGGATCCCAGGGCGGTCGTATGAGGATGGTTGGTGGAGGTGGCGTAGCGATTTATCTACGATGTGACATTGACTGCGAGATCGTGGCACAGTCAGTGACTAGCGCGGACTCTCCTGAATATCTTTTTTTGGAAGTCACTCTTCACCACACTAGGGCCCTACTGGGAGTTTTTTACAGTCCTCATCTAAGAGTTGACTATTTTGAACAACTAGAGTCGGTTCTGGCTGATCTACGTACCCGCTAGGAACATATTATTCTCATGGGTGACTTCAATACCTGCCTTGTTAAGAGGGACTGCCGATCGAGGAAGTTGCTTTCACTCTTCCACTCACTTTTTTTGAATTGCCTCGAGTTGTATCCCACTCACTTTCCGCATAATGGTCAACCTTCCCTTCTTGATCTGATCATCACTTCTTCACCTGAGCTGGTTGATTCTCATGGACAGTTTAATGCTGCTGCTTTTTCGTCACACGATTTAATTTATGCTTCGTTCAAAATTCGTCCACCTAAGCGCAGACATAAAACCTTAATGCTCCGCAATTATGGTAAAATAGACAAAAATGCCCTTTTTGATGATGTGCTGAATTCTGATTGGGAGCTAGTGTTTGGAGCGGAGGACGTGAATGAAATGGTTCAAGCTTTTAACTCTATTATTTTGACCATCTTTGACAAGCATGCTCCACTTCAAGTTGTCCGAGTCAAACATTTCCCCGCCCCTTGGCTCACGCCAGATATCAAGGAGGTTATGGAGAGGCGCAACAGAGCACGTATCAGATTGCGGAAGAATCCAACCAAAATCAATAGTGAGTCCTACATCGAGTTACGTAACCGCTGCAACAAGCTCTGTAGGAACGCCAGGCGTAAACATATTCACTCCACTATCGAAGGTTGTCCGCATACTAAGATGTGGAAATATTTGAAGTCACTGGGTATTGGTAAAGCTGATCATGTCTTTCCCTTCAATGTCGATCTTAACGCGCTGAACGACTACTTTGCATCTTCCCCAGTATCTTTAGATTCTGTCATAAAATCGCGAACTTTATCTGTCCTGGCCAATGCACCTTGTCTCGCTTCAGCCTCTTTTGATTTTGGAAAGGTTACGACACCAGATGTGTTGAAAATACTTAAGTCTGTCACCACGAAGGCTGTTGGTAATGACGGTTTGAGTCTTGATATGATCACTCCAATACAGGACCTAGTAGCTCCTATCCTGGCTCATATCCTTAATTTTTCCCTTTCCAGTGGTGTGTTTCCCACTGTATGGAAACAAGCCCATGTAATTCCTCTCCCTAAAAAATCAAATCCTTCTTCTTTCTCCGATTACCGCCCTATCTCCATACTTCCTGTATTGTCCAAAATCCTTGAGCACTATGTCCATAATCGACTCACTAACCACCTCCTACGTTACCATATTTTCAATCATCTGCAGTCTGGTTTTCGAGCGGGCCATAGCACAGTTTCTGCTCTGGTGAAAATCACTGACGACATTCGTCTTAATATAGAAAATAAAAAAGTTACTGTCCTCACTTTATTGGATTTCAGCAGTGCTTTCAGTACTGTTGATTTTAATTTGCTTCTTGCTGTGCTTAGAACTTTAAATCTACCTCCCTTAGCCGAATCCTGGTTTCGTTCGTATTTATTTGATCGTTCCCAGCTCGTAAAGACCGGTGACATGCACTCGGACTGGTGTAGCCTTACGGCTGGCGTTCCGCAGGGTGGGGTTTTATCACCTATACTTTTTTCGGTCTTTATCGGTGGAATTACATCATCACTCACGTCTTCTTTCCATCTCTATGCCGATGACCTTCAAATCTATTCCATCTCCAAGTTTGAGTCTATGGTGATGCCCAATTTAGTTTTGAATGACACCATTATTCCTTTTTCCACTTCAGTTAAAAATTTGGGCATCATAATGGATCAGACACTTTCTTGGTCGGAGCATGTCGCCGATGTAAGTCGTAAAATCTTTGCATCACTTCATTCCCTCAAGCGGATGCAGTACTTTCTTCCTCTGTCTACCAAATTTATGCTAATACGCACTCTTCTTTTTCCTATTCTGGACTATGGTGACGTCTCCTATCTTGATCTTTCGGAGGACCTTCTTAATAAATTGGAGCGGCTGCAAAATCAATGTATCAGATTTGTGTTTGGATTGAAAAAGTACGACCACATTTCCAAGTTTAGAGATGAGTTGAAGTTGTTGCCTATTCGTTTACGTAGAAATGCTCACATTTTATGCTTCCTCTATAAAATCCTGTTCCATCCCACTTCACCTAGCTATCTACGTGAGCGTTTTCAATACCGTCAGGCTATGGGTGACCGCCTGCGTTCTGGCACCAATTTGTCCCTCGTCCTTCCGCAACACAGTTCCCAAAAATATTCGAACTCGTTCACAGTTAATGCTGCCCGTATGTGGAACCTTCTCCCGGTCGAGGTCAGACAGTCGCCTTCGGTTCGGGTTTTCAAGGGTTCTCTTTTGAAGTTTTGGGATTGTTCAGACTCCACATGTTAGAGCTTTTGAAATATTAATTTACATTTGATATATTTATTTATAGTTTTATTTTGTACATTCATTTTATTATAGACTTTGTATGTATTAATGTATCAACATTACTTAATATATATATATTCGTATGTACATTTGATTTATTAAATTTATCTGTGTATTTATTGAGTATAGTATATTTCATATATCTATTTTTAGTGCCACCCCAAAAACCAACTTTCCTCTCACATTTTCAAAGGTTAGTTGGAAGAAATCTCTTTATGGGATAAGCTCGCCTTTGTACACAAATATTTAAATTGTTTCTGAAAATTTGTAAGTTACTTTGTGGTACAATAAAGTGTTTAAATAAATAAAATAAATAATAAGCTTCTCATTTTTCTTGCACAATTCTTAACACCTCCACATTGGTTTCTCTTTCCGTCCAACTAATTCCCTACGTTTTCTGAAGCGCCACATCTCAAATGCTTCCAATCGCACAATGTCTCTCCGTGGCTCACTGTAGGAGAGCTGGACGCTGATAAGCAATAACGTTATCATGGATTGGCGCATATGATCATTGTTTTTTGAAAATGATAGCTAAGGACTTTTTCGTTTTTTTGAGTTATTAAGTGCGCATTTTTTCTAACCCTAGACTTCAGAGATGGCGACACCATAAAAACCGGTGCGCGAGTCACTCGACCACAGAGGTAGTAAAAAAAAACTTGCATTTTGTAATCTAAAATAATAAATAACTCCTAAAGATTTATTTTTCCGTTCCTAAAAATTGTTAGTAGTTAGATAGTTAGCATATATATACGTATATGGCGGAGTGACACCACGAAGCAAACTACAAACAGCGCATTTAATTTTCGTTTTGACAGTTATTTATTTGAAATGGAACGTGGCTGAACGTAACATTAACTGCACGAAAATGGAACGCAACACTCAATGTTGCAATCATCGAGTATATAACCAGGAATAGAGACGAAATAAGGGCCATATATTCCTGGTAACACATTAGCTATCGCAGCTCTTATAAATATCAACTCCCGTTTGTACTGAAATATAGACAGGCCAACTACTGACCTGTGCGCACGTCTCTGTATATTCCAAAAAATATTCTGAATTTATTTTAATAAAGATAATATCCCTAACAATGCCGTGCTCTTCCTTCGGTGGTGTGGAAGTTAAGTTATGTGTTACATAGATGCGGAGACATGGTTGAAGAACGATGGCATGGCCATGTTCATCATTACGTCCGCAATGGATTACCGACAAATTGCCCTCGTAGAGAACTGTGAGAGCGCTGCTAAGATCATGGAAAACCTTGAGTCCATATATGAGCAAAAATCTGAATTCACAAAGATGTTAATTCATGAGAAATTCTACCAGTACAAGATGAACCCGTCAGATGGTATGGCGCAGCATATTTCCAGGATCGAGGGTTTAGCTCAAGTGTTGACAGAAAGATAGTGGAGAAAACATCAGTGACACGGATATTATCACTAAAATAATTAGTACGTTACCGTTAAAGTACCGCTCAGTACGTCATGCTTGGTTGTCACTTGATTCGAAACAACAAACCATTCCAAATCTCACTGCACGGTTGATGGATGAAGAGAGTGCAGTTCCACTCATGGCGTCTCAGAAGCAGAAGCAGAAGCTGGGGAGAAGTACTTCTGTTAGTAGTGATGACAATCAGCACCGCTTCGTTTGCTATAACTGCAACAAGCGTGGCCATTTTGCCAAAGACTGCCGTGTAAAGAGACGCAGTCAAAGCAAGCAAGTGAATAGTATGCTGGCATATATAGAAGAAAATACAAATTTTATTGACGAGACATATGACAATGTATGGCTGTTGGACAGTGGAGCATCTGTACATATGACTTTTAGGAAGACTTCTTCTTGGACTTAGAACTGTTCACTGAAGATAGTAATAGACGAGTGAAATTAGGTAACCAACAAGAGCTAAAAGTGCGCGGAGTAGGAACTGCACTAATTAAAAAGTGCTTAAACGGACATTGGGAAAAGAATGTCATAAAAGAAGTGCTCTACGTGCCAGATTTGTATAGGAATCTGTTTTCTGAAGGCGTCATTATGCGTTTGAACTATGTCATAGTAAAAAGAAACACTACTGCGTTAATTTACAAGGACAATAGAGTGGTGTTAAGTACAAGGCAAAACGAAAGTAACTTGTATGTAATGAATTTTAAAACAGTCACTAGTGCAAGCTGTAATAATGTGCAAATATCCCAGAACAGCTTGAAATTGTGGCACGAGAGACTTGGACACTTGAAAGTTAAAATATGATTCAAAGTAGACAAATTCAGTGTAAAGACATTGGTGATTAAAAGTTTGTATGTGAAGGTTGTATGTATGGCAAGCAAAGTCGGCTGCCGTTCCTTGCTTCTCGTCGGACCGAGCAGCGCCCTGGGGATTTGGTCTACAGCGATGTTTGCGGACCAATGAGTGAGTCTTCGATACAAGATATAAAGTATTTTGTCCTATTTAAAGATGCAGCTTCCATTTACTTATATGTATTTTTCTTGCGTCACAAGAATGACGTATTGGACCATTTTAAGATTTATAATGCCAATGTACATAACAAGTTTGGTCACAACGTCGGTCAAATTTTACACACTGATAATGACACTGAATACGTTAATGGCCATTTTAAGGATTTCTTGTGTCAAAATGGTACAATACATGCATGTACAGCGCCATACACACACCAACAGAATGGTCGGTCAGAAAAGGAACTGCGTAATATGTACTCAATGAATCACGGGATAGATCTGCCGCTGAACTTGTGGGCAGAGGCTGTGGGGTGTGCAGTGTATGTACTCAATAGGACAATGTCTACTCAAACACCATAGAAATCACCGCTCGAAATATGGACTGGTGAAAAACCTAATCTGCATCACCTTAAGGTTTTTGGGTCAAGTGGCTACGTTCATATTCCTGATGCGTGTAGAACTAAGTTGGATCGGAAAAGTAATAAAATGATCTTAGTCGGGTACGAAAATCAGAACTACATAATGTATGACCCAAATATAAACAAGATAAAAGTATTCGATGAGACCGGTCTGAATGGTGTCAAACAAAACCGTGCTGTGATTGAACATGTAGAGGAAAGCTGTGAACAACAACCCTCAGTACCAGCAATGATATGTCCTCCAACGTTCACGTCATCACAAGCAGAAGAAAATAGCGATGATAGTTTAAAGAGCTGTGAGGACAATGACACTTATGAACCTGATGTAACGCTTGATCCCTCCGAGATGATATCAAGTCGAGTTTTAAGACCCAGGAGAAATGTGAATTATGAGCTTAATATAAGCCATTTCCTCGAACCGTCCACATATTTGAGACAAGCGTTGAGAAACCCAGATTCGGAAAAATGGAAAGTGGCAATCGAAGAAAAGCTTAAGGCTCATGAACAAAACCAAACCTGGTCTGTCACGGACAACAAGAGTAACAAGAAACCAATTACCTCGAAATGGGTGTTTAAAATTAAAAAGAATAAGTGTGGTGAATTTGAAAGGTATAAAGCTCGTTTGTGTGCTCAAGGCTTTACTCAAGTGAAAGATGTTGACTATACAGAAACGTTTGCACCAACGACCATGTATGATTCCATAAGAATCTTACTAAGTTTGGCTGCGCAATATAACTATGAAATTTTACAATTTGTTAAGACGGCATTTCTTTATGGGGAGCTTGAGGAAGACATTTATATGGAAGTTCCTCGAGGAGTAGTTACCGAAAGTAATAAAGTGTGCAAACTTAACTAGTCTCTGTATGGGCTCAAGCAAACTCCACACTGTTGGAACACGTACACTAATTTCTTAAAGTCGAATGGTTTTGTTCAGTCGGAATCCGATCACTGTGTTTTTAGTAGTCACTTTAACAATGATAGAGTATTGTTAATACTGTATGTGGACGATGGACTTATTTACTACTACTACTAGTAAAAAAAATAAAATAAAAATCGTTTATTTCTTCTTCCACAATAGTACTAAAACAAGGTACTTATGAATAACTTTGTAAATTTTTTACAGAACAAAGTACACTTGTGGAAAGCTGGAGCCTAAACTACTAGTCTCCAGGCCTCCCAACTCAGATAAAATTACATCAATATATTCTTAAGTAGTACGTAGCGCCTTATACTGGGAAGAAGATACGTGCAAGTGCCTGTGTATAATAATAATAATAATAACGCACACACTCAACATAGCCCCGCACTAGGGAAACCCTGTGTCGCGGGTGCCATGGACACACACATAGACAACCACAAATTACACCCAAACTCACGAGAGAAATAAATGTAGGCCATACAAATGTTTCTCCCGGCCCCGGAATCGAACCTGAGACCTCTGCGTGGCAGCCCAGCATGGTAACCGTTCGGCCACGGAGGCAGTTATGTAGTGTGTGTGTGTGTGTGTGTCTGTATGTGTTTGTGAGTGTGTGTGGGTGTGGGTATGACTGTGTTTGTGTGTGTGTATGTGTGTG